ATTGTTACTTTTAATTAAATCGGCTAGTGCACAAAGGAGACGAGTTCAATTTTTTTCAAAAATAAGTTTTTCTTTTCTTGAAATACGTTTTCAGAGCAAAAAAGCATTTATCACAGACTTCTAAAAGCCTAAAGTAAACGTTGAAAATGAGCAACGAGTGCAGAAAGGATATAAGTCAGAGAACTTGCAAGATTCATGATTTAAAAAAATTGAATAGTAATATATCCTGTCAGAATGTAGAAGCTTTTTGATCAGATTTTTGAATAATCAATGATTAAACTTGAATACCAACCAGAAGATTTAATAGACTTCAATGGTCTGTGTTATAACTTCAGTGTTTTCAAAATTGTTTTTTACAAATATTATCTCATATTGTTCAACATATATATATATATATATATATATATATATATATATATATTAGAGACATAATTTAAAATAAATAAAGCAACAATGTATACTAAAAAAAATTTTTTTTTTTTAGTGCAGAAAGATAATTAAAATTCATCAAAACAATTAGTTTTTTGCTTAACAAAGAAGAATTCGTCCAAAAAGTCAGGATATCCAATCGAACAGGTGACAACTGTAATTATATATTCTTTTAAATTTCTATAAATTGTAACATAATTATATATACTTGTGTTCAACGAATAAATATTAGAGTCAAGATCGGTATTCATATTCGATTTTTATATTTGAGATTAATTAAGACTATTTTAAGTACAATCTTAAGATGCTATGTGTGAGTGTGAACCAATTAGAGAGTCGTATCAGTTAAAGTTATTTAAGACAGTCTTTAAATAGAAACAGACTATAAATATCAAAATAGTAATAGTAAAAAAATTGAAAGTTTTTTTATTATCGCTCCTTGGAAAAAACGTTTAAAACATGTCTTTTTCATGTTCAAGAAAAATATCTAAATGGTTTTTTTCCTGTAAGTACGGATGTTCGAGAAGAATATCTAAACGTTTTTTTTTTTCTGTAAGACGTAACCGTAAATCTATATGTTTATCTCGTATCTTTTTCATATCTAAGCAAATTTAAATATCTAAACGTTTTTCCTGTAAGTACAAATAAATCGTAATCGCAAGTTTTGCATACTCACCTCGTATGAGCATCTCTCTTCTTGCGGTTTAATTTTGTAATACCACCAATAGACTTCTGGATGCGCTACGACGAATCTGCGACTACCGTCGCTAGGTCGTTGATACACGAAGGTGCATAACGCATCCGTTTTTGTGTTGCGTTCAGCAGCCACGGCTAGAGCGTCAGCCTGTTTATGAAATTCCTGCCAGTATTGGGTCGGGCCCAATATGTGCGATGGCATGACTTGGTACGTTTTTACCCAACAAATCTTGGACCGGGATGGTGATCGTTTTTGTACCTTGCTGCCGTAAAATCTGCTTGTGCAAATCGGTTCCATTTCGATCGATGCTCGATGAAATCAATCTCAGTATTGTCAGTCAAACAATTTGCGTAATCACTGTTATTCTTTTGCGATGTAAACATACTGTAGGACATTCTATAACTGTACGGACAGCTGATCTAAACTGGTGTTTCCCGCCAATTTCGTGTCAGCTGATGGTCGCTACAATCGTTCGCAGATGATGGTCGCGTTCAGCAGACTTAAGCGGGGAGCACAGACTCTTGCATAACGCATAACACGTAATGCATAAGAATATGTACCAATCGAAGTTCTCCGTTTCTTTCCCTTCCATATAATAGAGAACTCTGGTTGGTTCAATTTCTTATGCCTCATGTGTTATGCGTTATGCAAGAGTCTGTGCTCCCCGCTTTAGGGCACTCACACATGAAATGCATAACAGAGCATAAGCATAACATAAGGCGACTAAGGGCTATCGCACATGAAATGCATAACAG